AATGATTTGTTGCGCGCGCGTCATGGGGTTGCGTTCTCCATAGAATCGCGTCGGGCCCCGGCTTCCATCGTCATCGGGGAGCTATGGTCTTCAGCCTACATACAGTACTCGCCGTACTGTAACTGCACAGGAACTTAAAGGTAGGTAGGCCTACAACTAACCTTCCTATTATTCTTGCTGTCTGAGGCAACCTCTCAACACAAATCTCTTTGACAGTTTTGACACAACCGGACGGAGGTAGATTCGAGTACGACGACATAGACCAAACCTATTTTTCTTAGTTAGGCCTAGGACCTAAGCCGCAACTAAGGCATGAGTGACCACCGTACACACGACGGCAGCGTGTACCGGAACAACGATAACACACACATGCGACCGCCGAGCAGCCCATTCAAAAATATATAGCGCCCTCACTTTTATACCACCCAAAAAAGTTTTTACAACGTAAATAGGACTATAACAGAGGGTGAGAGCTAGTGAGAAAGAGAGAAGTTAATTGGGTTTAAAATGTATAATGAATAAATATAAAGTATAAAACCAAAAGAAGAGCATAAATTATTTGCTAAAAAGTAATTTTCTGTAGAATTCTATACTTATGAAATCATACATTGAAGCTGATGTTCCCCCGAGAAGATGGGTGGCAAACAGTTAATGAGAGAATTTTTACTAACCGGTTTACTCGCTTTAAGAACGTTTTAGATTAAGGTCGTCAAATACTCTTAATATTTATTAGGCATATATATTCAGCGAAATAATTAAAACAATGGAACATTGCACTGGATACAAATACTAAACATTGTCATTACTAAAATTGAACTTGTTTTTACGGTGATGTTTTAACGAAATATTTAGAATAGACACAACAATGGCGCCATATTGTAGATTTTATTTTAAATTTTATGAACATGATAGTTGTAATTGAGAAACCAACTACGGAAACTCACTTGGATCTCTTCATTTAACGTGCATTTTCTGCACGACTCATTGCCCGGTGAATTTAACGTGGTGAAATTATATTCTGTGGTGTATTATTCATTAATTTTATAGCTTCTTTTGCAGTTTCTGCAGTGGTTGGCTTCTTGCCACCTACCTAATTCAGTGAAATGAATACGCTACGCTGAGGAAACATTGGCTGTAAGAATTTTCAGCCCATCTGTAGTGTCAAACCGTGTTACGCACTGTTGCTTTTCACTTTAGCCATTCGTATGCACACAGCGCTGACAATTATAGCGATTCTTAACTCAACATTGTCAACACAACGTTTTCTCGTTTTACAACTGAAGATGATGTTTTTCAAGATATTATTTGTGGGCTTAATGGCCGGGGTGGAATTCAGCAGCAGTAGTCGAGTCGGTAAGTAACTAGTTGATAACAGGTTTATAAATGCAGGGAACAGTGAAACTGTTCCCTGATAAATGCCTGTGGGTTGTTTGAAATTGTATTAAGAGACGAAACGCCTTCTAGCCGAGCCGTGGATCCTTGAGCAAACGACGATCAGCGCAATGTTGGGGGGGGGGGGGG